CAATGGGCCAAACTGAGCTGGCTTTCCATGAAACAGCTCCTGACCATGCCCCCAGTGACCCCCAGCAGGCAGCACCATCCAGGGGTCTGGGACACCCCCATGCCAGTCCCACACCTCCCTGCTCTCCCTGCGCCAGGCTGCAGGCTGGGAACAGCCCCATCCCATTGGCCCCACAGCTGGGCCGGAAGCATGGGGCAGGAAAGAGCTGTTGTCACTCCCAGCTGAGCTGGGGACAATGAGTGGCAACAGCTCCTTCCTGCCACCCCTCTCCCTGGGGTGGCCAGCTGGCCTGCGGGGACAGGACACAGGGGATGCGGAGCTCCAGCTGGGCAGGAAGGATGCCTGTGCCCGCACAGCGACCTGCCAGGCAAGACAATGCTGGGGACAGCCACCACTGCCTGCTATGGGCTCAGCCATATTCCCCAAGCAGCATTTCCTGGGCATGTGTGCGGTGACACAAGGCACTACATGACCTTTGTTTTGTACCAGCCCTGTCTCACCCCATCCAAGACCACTAGAGCCAGCACAACACCTGCTTTCCCAGCCTAGAGCTGGACACAATATGCAGCACCCACCCCATGGGGTACGGGAGATCAGCTACCCCTGGGCTGGATGCTGAGCATCCCTAACAGGCAGCATCCTGCCTGCATCCCTGGAGGATGGCAGGTCTCAAACGAGGTCTCAATGAGGGCATCCGGCTGCAGCCAGCGCTGCCGATTCAGCAGTCACGGTGCCGGGCAGGAAGGATTTGCAGCACTGCGGGACAGAGCAAGGTCAGAAGCAGCACCTGCCCTGGGAGGGCAGCGGAGCAGCCATGGCCAGCCTCAAGGACACAGCCAGGACCACGTCTCCACGCTGCTGTGGCCACTGGGCTGGTGCACGCATCCCTGCAGACAGGACTGTCGTGCACAGCAGGACTCCTTGCCAGCACCATGGCCTCGGCTCCATCATCAGCAAAGGGAAGAGGCTGGCCCAGGGCTTGGCCATAGCAGGGCACAGGGACAGGTTGTGGCTGCCCCGTGCAGGCAGGCGTGCCCAGCAGCCTTGCCCAGGTAGGCAGGGACTTAAGCCTCGTCTATTTATTGCTGCCACCCAGTTGGGCCTTGCAGCCTCTAATCACCTCCTGTTGCTCTATTCCTGGCCCCTTGTGCAACTCTCCACAGCAGCACCACTGGACAGGTCCGGCCGCTCGCTGCGCCCAGACTCGAGCCAACAGGATC